ACAGGAGGGTTTTCAGAGGGACAGATGGCAGTGGAGAGACTTATATTGCCTGCATGGTGGTGACAGTAGTGAGAGGTTCACCCTGCCAACATGGTGAGTTTTGCGAAGGGACATAGGGTATGTAGCCCCTGTGGCATGCAGTCCACATGGTAGTCAGCCTGGGGTCCATGACTGGTATTTTGTGTGGCCCCCAGGAACTCTGAAATTGGACAGCTCTGCTGGAAAGGATTGAACTAGGAACATTATGAGCTATAACCTCATTACTAGTCATTTTTGTGAGTGTACCAGCATAATCTTCAGCAACACAGACTATCAGAGAACATGGTTGGGCAGTATTAACTCTCAGAGAACTAGAGAATTATCAGTACTATTTCCCTCAGAACCTATTGTTCTTTTAAGCCTTCCCACTCAACTAAAAACCTTGTCCTGCTCTTCTCTGTTTGTAAGATCTGACTAGTTCAGGTGTTATGATCAGCCCAGATCACTGAGGGCTCAGTAGATGAGCTAGAAGTCACTCCAAAAGTTAAAGTAAATATTAAAACAAGACTTTTATATATCTATAAAATATTTAAGATTCCTGTTTCTAACTCAATGTAGCATTTCTAGTATTCAAAAATTGAAAGAGCCACTCTAATTAAGTCTTATGCATTCCAAGCTAACTTTCGATAGCTGCACCAAGAGTTTTTTTTTTTTTTTTCCTTCTGGGATAATTTAAAAAAAAAAAAATCACAAATAATGCTTTCAATGTGAGAAGAAGGCTAACTTTACACTGTTGACTTTCCCAGTCATAATTTAAAGTTTTAACAAGGAAGCTCAAAGAACTATTGTCCTAATTCTATCTTCATTGAATTCATATTTGCAAGTTCAATAGTGTGAGGAATGACAGTCCAAAAGATGAAAGATTCCTTCTGTCAGTATGAATAGCCAAGGACTGTTTGTGCCATATATTTGTCCCAAACTATGTTAATATTTGCAAAGCTGGACTTCTTAGGAAGAGTTCACTTTGCTTAGTGAACACATTATTGCATGGTAAAAAAACGAAAATGGCAATGACTTGGTGAGTTTCCTACTACACTGTGATTATATAACATGCTGGAGACTAGTAGATGCTTCTCCAGTAAATTGATAGCTTAATAGTCATTTGATACATGTGCTGAATTTGACCCATAAGTTAGGATCCTGATTTTGCTCACATCAATGGCAAAACTTCTACTGAATTCAGATTAAAAAAATCTATTGGATCAAGCTGATTTTTTTTTTTTTCAAAATTGATGGACTGTGACTACTGTACTTGAATTTAGAGATTTGATTTTCTATTTTACATAGAAGTATGCTAATAGTTTTCTTTGTAGTAAGCAGCTACAGCTGGTTATATGGCTGTACACCAGTTGAATCAATATTTAATTGAAAAGAAAGCTCTATTTAGCAACAGAAATGATTAAAGCATGTCTTTTGTTAATAAGACTATGATTTTTTACAACTCACACTCCAGCAGTTAAACTAAGTGCATCTGTAGAAGCTCTATTACATGCCAGCTTCAATAATAGCTCCTTTTTGTCTTGTGAGAGTCATCTTTGGTTCAGCTTTCCACACTAACAACAAACTTTAATAAAACTACTAATGCTTTTCTAATAGTTTCTTTTCAACATGGAAGCTATGAAGCCAGCACTGTCATGGTCAGCTGAGGGTGTTTCCTCTTTCATTCTATAAACTACTAGAAAATAAAGCATGAATAGAGTCGGTCTCTGGATTTTGCTCACTATCCTCTATATTTTTTCTCATCTGTCTAGTATTTGAAGGCGGGGGCAGAAAAGGGAACTTGTTCAGTGAGTAGTCTATGGGAATATTGTTATTGATGTTTGGTAATTAAAAGCTCTTCAGACTAATTAGTTAAGTTAAAAAGCTGGAGAAAAAAATGCCAAGTTAAACCAAATTTGAAAATGTGCATTTTTTTTTTTCATTTCTTGGAGCTGACCTGGGCACAAAGGTTCTTTTGTTTTTAGTCAGTATCATACAACATGTGAGGAGCACCAAAATTCTAGCGACAAGGTTAAACAATTTAGCACCCAGACTCATTCTGCTATAGAAAAAGTAGTCCAGAACGTGCTTATTTCTCCTCCATCTCTGAATTTACTGGCAACCAGGAGCACAACGAGGGGCAGCTGAGAGGGGCACCTGCCCAAAGTGCCTTGTCAAGAGTTGTGCTTCCCCCATCCACACAGAGTTTGCACTCCATCAGCACTGCAATGAGGGGACTCCAAAATAGTTCCCAGGAAACTTTAAGACTAATAGCTGGGGCAGGCAGAGCACGCATGGCAGCAGCAGCCAGAACTGTTTTGAAATTCTTGCACAGCAGTGCTGCTAGGGCCCACACTCTGTGGGGGTGGGGGGTGATGGTGGCACTGCTCTAGAGTAGCCTACTCTAGCATTTGAGATTGCTGTTCACTGGCATGGGTAAGGCCGTTGTCCCCTGCCCTCATAACCCATGTGTCTCTAGCTCCCCCAGAACTTGTGCTCCACTGCCACCCGAACGCTCCCACCTCCCTCTCCAACTTCTGGCAGGGTTTGTCCCAGGCACCAACTCGGCTTGTTACACCATGGCTGGCAGTCACTTCCTTTGATGTCACAGAAAGAGGGGGACTTATTTTAGAGTTCCATCCCTTTCTCCTAAACTTCAGACTTCGTTGAGATTTTATATGTATCAGTCAGCCAGCTATTGTTCTTCGGGGAGTAACAAGGAAAAGTGCCAAGGAAGACACTGCCTTGACTTATTCACGATCCCTTACATCAGGTAAATTTCCTATGCTAACAGTGATTCATTTGAAATAATTACTGGTGGCACCAGGGCTGACTAAGCTGGTTATACACATCCCTACATCCTATGTAATTCTTAGTGATGCAGTACACGATGACTCCTTTTCTCTAGCTTTGTTAGCTGACATCATCCTGTGTTACTAACTCCTCTTCTCCTTTTTTTTCTCTCCCTCCTTTTAATAATTCCTCTGCTGTTGCAGCATAGAGGACGGCATCCATGACAACTAGTGATTGTGTAAGTTTCCTTATTTAGACTCTTGTTTAAAGTTCAACTTTCATGATTAGTCCAACAAGTCAAAAAAGATAATGAAAAAGAAGGATTGTGTGACAAACATTATTCACTGATGCTGGAAATCTGGATGCTTTTTTTTTTTTTTTGGCACGTAATGTGCTGATGTCAGTCTTGTATTCATTGGACATCTATCTACAGTGAACCCTTAAAATTCATCATTCTTCTATGTTCTTTTCATCATCTTAGTTCGGTTCTTAAGTCATGATCACTTTTTTTCCCACTCCTCATAGAACTCCATTGTTTGGGGCACGTGTGTGGGGAGAAAGGTCAGTCACTTGTCTGGTAATTTTCCTTTCATGTTCTTCTTAATCCTTGATCCTTTATTCAAAACTTTTCATTTCTATTTAATTTACTGCATGAATCTCTCAGGTGTTTTCAGATTTTAAGGACTCTGTATTCTATTAAAACAAATAAATAGGATCTAGGTATGCCTGAGCTGAGATGCTCCAACAGGCTTATTTGGTTAAAGACAGCACATTCTGTAACCAACAACACCTAAGGGAGTGATGTGGTTAGCATCATATATAGCCATCTTGACTCCTTAGCCTGAATGAGCAGGTACAAGTTTAACCATTCTGACACCCTCTTCTTCACTGGATTAGGGAATAGACAAATATATTACAATGAGTTAGGGATTGCTGAGTTACAGAACATCAACCGCTCGATGGTTAACTTCCAAGTAAAACCAGGGTGAGAGCATGTACATGGACAAATACCAATCACAGCTTAGCCCTCGAAACATGGATAAGCTACTGTAATTTAGCTTTCACTTATTGTGGGGCAAGAACCACCACATAGGCAATTTCTGCAGAGCAGCTGAAATTCAGTAAATCCCCACCTCCCCTATTAAGATATTGTAATCTATTTCTTTGTTCATATCTGCCGTATTTACTTTCACTTTTGACTGATTACATTACCCTGCACTTGGAACCTACAAAATAATTTGAGATGGTAAGCTTCAATCTTTGTGCAGCAGGGATGCTATTTTATCATGCCCACTTTACATTCATATCTTTCAAGGTTTCAGGTTTGTTATCAAATACAAGTCTTGAATTGAAGATATTTACTGCTGTCCAAAAGCTTTTATATTCTTCGGCTGTAGCATTATTTCTGACTCCTGTAGAGCTGAACTTGACAGGCATCATGCAGAGCACTTCCCATTTGGATCACAATATATAATTACAGTTCCTTAGCATTTTCCCACCTTGATGTTTGTAGCCCTAAATGAAGTTCTGAGATTAGTGACATTTTCAATTTTGCCTACTTGGAAGCTAAAATATCATATCTTTATATCAGAATGTGTTTTAACAGGAATATTTTTGTACGGAGTATAGAACATAACCCTGGAATTCAGGCTGAAGCTGAGTTAAGAAATCTGCATGGAGTGTATGACACTATTTTATTATTTTTATCTTTTGTCATGCTTATAACTTTTGGCCTGAGTTACGGGAGAAGTCAGACTAGAAGATCATAATGATCCTCACTTGCCTTAAATCTATGACTCTAAAGCACATGCTTTCCTTCACTAGCTGGCCTGATGGGAAAAGGTAGATGTTGTTATGCATTTGGAAAATCTGTAAGACATAGACTTAGGCACTTCAATGCATTTAAAAATATGGGCCTAAATCAAAATATGTATGTATAATTAATTGCACTCCCTTGCTCCCAACAAGAATGCTTCTTGATTTTGCTGTATATATTAATGAACCTAGCTAGGGATGAGCTACTAAGCTCAATATATTGGATTGACTCTATTCCAAAGACTTAAAGTCTTAACTACACCAAGAAATCAAGCAATATGCAAAGAATGTGGTGGCTTCCCATAATGGACCTGATTCAGCTTGCTTGTTTAAAGATCTAAGATGATATTTTAGTTGCTTTGTAGGTCACAAACCTGCCAGCCTTGTAATTTGCACTGCTGAAGAACAAGATGACATTTCTCCTTGGCAGGCAGCTTTTTCTTCTCTCCCACTGCTGTATCAGCCAAGTCCTTATACCTGAAAAATATCAGAAGAGGAATATTTGTTCAACTAGGTAATACAAAAGCATATCCCAAACCTGGAGGGTATATCTGTCAAAGCTGTTAGTTGCCATCTCAGTTCTACATGATTGGTGTCTAAACACCACAGTTCTAGTGCTGGCACAGACACTGTCTCAAATCTTCGTAAATTCCTCTGTGGCTTTGCGCCATATCTCTGCAAAGATATCTACCTTGAAAACTCAGCAGTTATTCTGAGTGTGGTGACAACAGACAGACATTATGTGTATGAAGTTTATGTTGTTAGGATGCTTCCCAACATCCCTGTTTAACTCATATAATGAAAAGTATTAAGAGTATGACATATACCCTGAAAATTATTTTGCAATCCATCTACATCAAAGGGGTTAACCTTTTTTGCAGAAGTCCAACAGATTAGTCCTGCATCCTCCCTGAGTGCCACTTTGTTACCTTTCCTTACCCTATCTGTGCTCAGCCTTCTGCTCCCTCCCCTGGGCTCCATAACCACCTGTTTTCTTCTCCCTGCCCTATCTGCTGCTGTCTGGTCTGTCCCCTCCCCAGTCTGGCAGGTGCAGAGCCAGATTAACCCTTTAGTGGGTCCTAGACAAACAAGCTCGTGGGTCTCAGACTGGTTGAGACCCCCCTCCCTACCCCAGTGCTGTCTCCTGCATGGAGCGGGGCTCAGAGCCACCCCTAGCAAGCAGCCACTGAAGCAGCAAGGCTGGCAGAGGGGAAGGAAGGGGAGGGGGACAGAGCCATTCACACTACCACTGCAAGAGGGAAGGACCGGGACCCGCCGTAGCTCAGGGCCCTAGGCATGTGCCTAGTTTGCCTATGTATTACTCAGGGCCTGGGCATGTATCATACCCAGAGGCTGCCCCTGCCACTGTGTAACCGTGCTGCAAGCTGGCTATGTCTGGTCTACACTGTGGCAAGAGCGTGGGTTGGCAAGGGTCCAATCCCAACCACCCATATCCTAAAAACACAAAAAAATGCCACTGAAATTACTCTGAAGGGAGTGGCAGGGGGTGTTACTCCCAGTAACAGCCACTCTCGCATACACTAGAGACTGAAGCTATATCCTATTCCACTCTGCTTGCATAAAAGGCATGTATGTAGCTGTGTAATTGCATGTTTTGGAACTTATACATAGTTTTTGTTCAGCATATCCCATGCTGGCCTATGAGAAATAAAATTGGCCAGCTATGTGAGTAACGCTGGAGCCATCTTACAATTTTTGTTGGTGGGAGCGAAGAGAGCCCACCCATCTTATCAGGCCAATAATTTAATGCTTAGGGCATTTTGTACAGGGATCAGGAGGCCCAGATTGTATGGTCCCTTTAACCAGAAGGGGCTTGAACCTGCATTTTCTGCTTCTTAGCAAAGTGCTCTGACCCCAAAGACTAGGCACACTCTTGAGCTCTCCTTCTGAAGGTGGCATCCTGAATATTAAGGAGGAATTCATCTGTAAGTGATGTGGTTAGACTGTGTTGAGAGAGGTTTCTACCAATTTAAAATTAGTATTTTTTCAACAGTTTGAGGGCTTTAAAATGCCTTACAGTAAGAGATTTATGAAACTTAATCTGTTTAGTTTATCAAAAGGAAGATCAAGACAATGCTTGTTTATAATGTAATGCACAAGTACTTCACAGAAAGAAAATACTGTGTTATAATGAGATCTTTGATGTACCAGAAAAAAAGATTTTGCAAGGAACAATGACTGGAAATTTAAGGCACCAAAATCAAAACAAGAATAAGGTACACATTTTAAGAGTGAGGGTGACTAAAAAAAACTACTGAAAAAAGTGGTAGATTCTTTGTTTTGTAATCTTCAAAGCAAGACTTGATGCAATTCTCCATTAGAGTATTAATTTCAATTAACTGAAAGGAAAACATTCTGGAGACATGTCACATTTGATGATTCTTCCAATAGAGCACAGATAGGTTTTGAAATTTGCCTACAATACTTGTTTTATCCTGGGCAGCCAACTATGAACCATATTTCATGGCAGTCCCAGTATGTGGAACTAGGGACCATAGGACTTCTGTGTTAGCAGTTGGATAGATGTATAATAGAACTGCCACAGAGCCTCCAGAGTCTGTACTTCTGGAGTAGATCCATCCTGCAGACTGCTTGGTGATGGAGGACCACATTGCTGCCAGACAATCAAGCTAGCTGGCTTCCTGAACAATCCAACTCCTGCAGCTGGGGAGCCAGCTGGCCCAGGACTCTAGCAGTTCCAGCAGCTGCTGACTAAAGTTGACATGAATGTTGTCAGTTTCACTGGTGCTCATCACTTAATAGCAGCACTGAAACTGACCCAACTAAAATTGACCCTCTGCCCAGGTCCCAGCGAGCATATTTAATTTCAGAAAAATATATTAGAAACAGCCCATATTTGCCCCACAAACCTGAAATTTTGAGTTTTGATCAGATCTACTTTAGACACCCACAGGTTACTGAACTGCATATGAGCATAAATGGATAAAATTCTATAACCTATCAGATACAGGAGGTCAGACTAGATGGTCTACTGGTCCTTTCTGTTCTTAAAAGTCTACAATAGTATGAAAATGTACTCACTCACTGATTAGAGTTTAGGACCCCTTTCTATTAATTAAAATGAACTCTATCTTAGATGAAAAGGGAGGACTTTAAGCTAAGGCACTACTGGAGGAGAAGGAACGCTCCAAAATCTAGATTCATTTCCTGGGTCTGCCACAGACTTTCTTTAACACTGAACAAAGGGGTTAGTTTCTCTGTGCCTCAACTGCTTATCTGTAAAATGTAAATAAAAGTATTTCATTATCTCATTGTTACATTACATGGTTAAGTATATCAAAGATTTGGAGTTTTCAAAAGTTATAGAAATGGATATGTAAATATTTAAGATACATAAATACTTTTATTCCTGATACTGTCATATCACTTTTATCTCCAAAATGAATGTCATCTCTTCTGAATTTTTTAACTATTTTTCAGACTTTGATTCTATCAAATTTTTATTTAGGGAGAAGCAAGCTGTGTGGCTTGGGCTTATTAGCTTTATTTCACATATGCCATGGCATTTTGAAAGCTCCAAATACCCCTAAGACCAAATATATCAACTTAAATAAGGACTATGCACATTACTAATAAAATATCACTATTATAGCAGATGCTGTAATTCCCATTGTCTAACACATATTGTAGTAACCTTGGTGTCCTCTACAAATTAGTCATTTGAATTGAATAGCAAAAAAGAATACCTTTAGCTGTTGCCAGTCATTACATAATAGCAGATAATACTGCACACATTCTGAATTTGTAGCACAGATTTGTATAATTAAATTTCAATCTACATGCAACCTTCCAGATGCATCAATTTTTACTTCTATGGAAATGTAATCTTGGTAGTGCTGGCAGCTTGAGAGGTCCACTCCTTCTAAAAGGAGAGTCTTTCCCTTCAAAATTGTGGCCTAATTCAGCCGTGTATGGACACAGAAATCTGGCCTCTTCCCAAGGGCAGAGTTGTATATTCTGCCCAACATGATTAATGTACAGTATAACTTGCAGACTTGTGAGCCTGTCCAGTGCTCCTGTGATATCCTAACTTGTGGGGAGGAATATTGGTCAATGAGGTAAAATCATGAAAAAGTGCTGTATGGAATAAAGAGACTGAATCTCTGATTAACAGCTCCAAAACAAAAGCTTTAAGTCTGACATAAAGGATCCATTGGACCAAAGCCACAAGCCTATGGCAAGAGCTCCTTCAGCTGCAATCACCTTTCCTGCTGCTGCTAGTGGTTATGCCAATGGGCAGTAAGTAGGTTAGATAATTGGTAGCAGGGTCACATTCTTTATTCCCTCTGTCCTCCTCACATTGAAAAATAATGGTGAGAGAAGGCCATTTTCCCTAACTACTTTGTTGCTCAGCAGGGTTTAGCAACCTACCCAGCCTGACCTTCACATTGCACAGACAATTTGGGGCAGTGCATTTTGTGCCTTGTGAAGCAGGCTGACACACAGATTGGACAGTTTGGCTTCGTTACATACCATTTGTGGTCAATTGTGGATAGTGCCCCCCTCAACCTAAGGTTACCATATTTCCAGAATCAAAAAAGAGGACACCTTTTTTGGTGGAGGGAGGGGGGTTTGGGGGGGGGGCATTGATATACCTGTACCCTGCCTCTGCCCCTCACTCCTAAACTCCCTTCCCTGCCCAGCCCTGCCAGTGCCCTTTACTCCCAACCCTCAGCCCCCTGCCCTGCAGCCCTGTTGCCCATGCAGCTCCTGTATGAACACACACACACACACACACACACACACACACACACA